GTTAGTAGACGCTGCGTTCGGCGATTAGTAGATACAATATTATGAAATACGAGCGACGTATATAGCTGAGGGGTGTGCCTCTATATGCGTTAAACTCAATGAGCGAAGAAAACGACTGGGTTCTTTCACAGAGGAGCGTAAAGATACTCCCTTTGTTGGTTTCACTTAGATAGTATTGTCATCGTAGCGACAGGAATTTATCGCACACGAGGATGCGTATCTTTCGAACGCATGAATTGTCGCATCTGAGATTTTATTAGCTTGTCCGAAAAGTTTCTTTCGTTTTATAAGGAAATAATAGACACAATGTTTTTTTTTTATATTAGTTTATTGAATTACGCATGAATATAATAATAAAAATATAACGAAATAGATCATACTTGATTCAGTAAAATAACATAAAACAGAAATTGTTGTTCATTATCAGCTTATGAAACGAAAGAAATTTTTCGGACAACCTAATATATCTCGGGATTACCACACTTGTTTCTACGATATCCGCCAAGTCTCATCTCGATCGACCACGAATGCCACTTCGAGGAATATCAAAGATACAATGAAAAGCTGGCGTTGTAGTTTAATCTTCTGGCGATCTAATAATCGCTTTAGCATAGTCCGAGATGTTAGATTTTTAATTAATACGTCGCTGCTTGCAACTCTCGTCCTATTGCCAATTTGGATCTGGCTTAAGAAAATTTCAATCGAAGATACTCCTAGTTCTATATTACAGCGACAAAGCTACCGACGAAATTAGAGTTGCCGGTGATCAACCATAGTTGGGATAACACGGACTCGATTATAAGTTCGCATAGACATTTAAAGTTGAGAATTAACCTGTTCGTACGAACCAAGTAGAACTATACGCGATTCTACTTCGTTCCAAAATTCTACGCTTTGCATCCTTGTCGAGTTCGCTGCCTCTCTTTCCATCGGACGTAAAATCGACCTCGCCAATTTTCTTCGAATCAGATTAGCTGGAATCATTGCCTATCGATTTGTGCGTCTGTCGACGAGCAAAGTCAGGGGCCTGAGTGGGCAGATTCTCACGCACTCGAGGTCCCAATCGAGGGGCCAATTAGAGAAGGTGGATGCGAAGGCGGCTTGGAGGGTAAGACAAATCGGTGGTTCCTCGTCGACGTTCACTGGCGGCGTTTTGGTATTCACAGTTCGCTACGTAAGGCTAATAATGTCAGTGGCAATAGTTGCTAGTAGGTTGCAAGACAATGGGTCGAAGAAGAGCGACCAGGGTTGACAGAGGATGGCTACTTTGTCCGGGAATGCGGGAAGATTGTTTGTCGCGGAAACAAAAAGTCATCGCGAAAGCACGAACACCCGGTATTAGCGTTCATCGAGACCCCTGATTACGGGCCACGCACAGCGTGTGCGTATCCATTTGCCGCGGCCATTGTTCCCCGATCCGCTAGGAAGCATTGTAGCCAACGAGGGGGAAGGTAATAACGTGGCGCCTTGTTCGTCGATTAAACGACACATTGTACCAGGACTTTTCTTTGATTGGATTACGCTTTAACGGAGCGGAGCTGCGACCGGGAACCGTGAAAAATGACCACGCGACCGGCAAATCCCCGTGAGAAGCCGCGACACGGATCTCCACGAGTCCTCTTCCCTTTCAACTCCTCTTTAAGGAACCACCGATCCTCGCTTTCGATCGTTCTTTCAACGTTCCTTAAATTTTGAACTCCGACAGAGATCGTATATCTTCTTGAATGAAAGAATCTCCAATTCGATCTTTGTGTGCTGGTCAGAAATTGAACGCGACGCAGAAACAATATAGTGAAAACGCGCTGGTTTCCCGAGTATCTGGCCAATAAGAAGATTCGAAAGGAATGGCGAACCGCTATTATCAGGATTAATTGGTCCGACAAAGTGTCTCGTCCCTTGACTCGTAATTCAAACGAACGACGTTCTGATGTACCTAAGCGAGGATTTATTTTATCACCAACATCTTGCGAAGCTTTCTCTTGTTGCGTGAATTTTATCTGAAAACATCTTTCGCCAAGTTCCTTCTGCTTTCAATTTGAATATTTCGACTGAGGCAGAGAAGCAAGGTTGTTGGAGACAAATAGAAGTCTAAAATGTTGAGGCTGCTTCGCGTTAAAAACGAGGGTGGCTCGCAGACTGCGATGAGAGTCCAGAGCTGGGTGATAGGCACGCTGATGGAGGGAGGGAGTGCAAAATGAAGGGAAAAAAATGGGTAACCCTCCGGCGTGTAACTGGATAAGCCGGCGGTTTGTCGTTCGCGCAGCTTTTCAGTTACTTTTTCACTCGGCGTCGTCAGCCCCGCACGACCGAATGATGTATGTGCCGTGTGATTTATTTCACCGCCGAAGTCGGGTCCAGGTGACTTTTGTACCACGACGGCCGACATTCGTATCCATCGAGCATCTCGAATCGAGAAGAATCTTGGTTTAACCATCGGGACACAGTTTCGATCATTGACAACTTTCCTCTAATTCTTCGTACGCAACCTATTACGTTATTTATGTTATTATGAAACTTCGCTTGCTTCTTCGAAGCAGACCTTTATTTTTCGCGAAAAGCTTCCCACATAGCTGATTTAAAATCTGCTTGCTGGGTGGCTATGCGTTTATGGAAAGTTCAAAGTTGCGAAAATGCAGAAGAAAACATAGAATAATTTAGAAATTGTACAAGGTACAGTACTCGTCATGGAAACAAATGTCTGCGTAGGTTCCGTTTCTTCAGTTGCGTTCGCAAAAGTACAAATTTCCATAAACGCTCGCAATCTACCGGTTGTGTAATGTAGCGTCCTAAGATATTTTTACATTTCTCTGAAAGTCTAAATTAACCTCTTCATGAAAAATAAAAGAGATACGCATACTCGCAGGAGTTAAAAATAAATAAAATTCCAAAACAGGAGAACATAGATGTTAGGTAAGAGAAGAATCCTTCGCGTTATATTCGCAGAATCGATCGCGTGATCTTGACGAAATTACTTGGCGTAATTTCCCAAACACCTTCGAAGGGCTGAAAGCATCCCCTACAGGGGAATGAAAAATAACCGGGATTTTCGCGTAATGCGCTTAAACCACGCGTTTTTACGACTACGAGCCGATCGTCTGCTATGCCTCATAGCCGATTTATGTAGGTGGAACGTGCCGGGGATGTTTCAGGATACGACGAGATTCCTGACGAGAGTACTATCGCCGAGCATTAAGAGTACTACGCATCGGCCCCATAAACTGCAGCTCGTGTCTACGCGTTAAGGGCACGACTTGTCTAAAAATCGGGGTTGCTTCTGGAAAGGGGAAGGTAGAAGCTCGAGAACAACCCTACTTCCGGTACGCGCACGCCGCCATCGCCGGAAACGTGGATCTCGAACGCGAAGCGGTGCATATGATTCTTGGAAGAGGGAGAACGAGAAAAAGTTTCTGCCGGGACGAATCAATGTTCTTATTTTTCTGCGTGATCGACTGACAAAATGACACGTCCCTTGTGAATCGTTAGACTGATAATTGACGTTATGATAGTACCTCATAACGTAGGAATATCTCTATATTCATCTTCGTTCATGGGCATCAAGACACTTAGCGTTTTGATAAGAAAACGATAAGAGATACAGATTAGTAAAAACTTTGCGTTTCTACAAAGAAAAGTATAAAATAACGTTTTAAAATATGCGCTTGGAAATCGCGAGTGCCACGCGCAAGAGTTTTAGAGGAGAGGAATCATTCGACTTCATCGTATATGTATAATTAGCGTCATTCGTATTGCGATATTGAAAACACGAGTTCTTCGTAATCTCATACTCTAAGGAAGATAATAATTGCTAAAGATTCTGATAATTTTGCAATAATTTATCAGGATTGCTTTGTTCTTCCGTAAATTCCCTGATGCTTACGAACGAGAGTGTATGTTTGGAGTGCTTCAAAGTTCCAGATAACACGATCGTTTACAATTTTGATTTATTAAACACATTTCCATACACTGTATTTCTCAATATCTTTTTCCTTAGTTTATCTAGATATACTTGTACGTATTATACCGATTAAAATATAATCGTTACGTTGCACGTACCTTTGATTGCGTACACGACATAGAACGTTAAAAGGAGGAAGAATACAAAAAATGAAGGGAGGAAAAAAAAAAAGGAACAGTGATGAGAAATGCATCGCGACCCGGTGGCAGGGAGTTCCTTCCATTTCGACGTGTACTTTTCATTGCGTTTCTGTTCGTATAATTAGCATGACAATAATAGCCAGCCGGCTTTCTTAATCAAACTTTTTAAATAGGATCCTCCCCCCGTTTTTCACGGAAACCCAGACCGTCGGTTTCTTAACGTCGAATTGCTAATCACCAGGCTACGTATATCGCTGCCTTATCCAGTCGTTCGCAGCGGCTGACGGATCTTCTCTCCGCCGACTGCAATTGAAAACTGGAAATTAATGTTAATTCCATGGACGTACAGCGACTCTGAATACGACGATCGAACGCTCCGACAAATCGTAAAACGTTTCACCGAAGAAAACGACGACTCGATCGATTCCCCTTTCGCTGCGACTAACTTGAATCATTGTTCCGATGTAGTCCCAGTAATAATTAGATATCGTTCTCCGAACTTAATCTCATCCTCGTTAATGCTGTCCTTTTTGTACAGATCGCGTCTATAAATACAAATATATTTCTATTTATGAGATTGTTAGGTAGTTACATGAAGGTATACAGAAGCAGTACAGTATTTATTGCAATCGTACGCAGCGTACGAGTCATAAACTATTTCAGCAGTCGATTATTCATTATGTTAATGAGCTAAAACATTTAGAAAGGCCACCTTTACCATTAATTATATCTTCAAGATAATTATTCATAATTTTTTACTACGTATATGTTCGTAACGGATGACTCGTAACTTCTGTATACAGTTTTAGATTGGCTTCAAATTTTATTAACATAATGTAGCGTTAGCGTGTAAGTTAAAACAAGTGTCATATTGTAAACAGTTAGTTATTTTAATTTTATATTAATTTTACAGATAGTAGAAGATCAGCAGACGATGATGGGCTGGTGTAGCGTCAAGTGTAGTCCTTGCGAGCAACGTAAGCCTACGCCAAAAAGGATGCGCATGGGTATGTATGTGCATGTGTACGCTTGCAGCGAGTATCCGTGTAAAGACAAGAATTTCTTAATTGGCAAGTCTGAGCGAATATCTATTTTTACCTAGCAATAAAATAGTAGCTCAATCTCCGATAATAGTCATTCGCTATATCATAATAATAATCCGTAATAATCATCGTAGTCCTATCACGTTATGTTAGAATGAAATTTAAGAACTCATTCAGTTATAACGAAACTTCAAAATGTTTGGTATTACGGCGCAGAATTTAAAAAGTTTCCGTAAATATCCGCGCGATTATATACACGCTCAATTTACATTTTCGATGCATCGACGATACTTTTTATCCCATTTATTAAGCAAGTGAATAACAATAACGGTTTATCGACCACGAAATGAAACTAGGATACGCATGAATCCCTCCAGCTCGTTAACTCCCCATATGAATAACAATAAACTTGGCCATCCATGGTCACAGTGATCGTCACGCTGTAATTCGATTATCATTCGATTCTCCATGGCTTTGCCCTGCTCGGAGCCGATCCGGTGCGCGCAAACGTTCCGACTCCGATCCGCACACACCGCTTTTCCTCTTTTTCCTCCCTCTCGGCAACCCTCCCACCCCTCGAGTCGTCTGGCCAGGTCACGGGTGAAAGGCAACGAGGAGAGAGCAACCCTTTGCCCGTTTTCCCAATTCGATGGGAACGCGAAAGCGCGTTTTCGAGCGTTTCGCGGGGGTTGGATGGGGCTGGTCTGCTGGCTGGCACGGGGGGTCGTACGCGGAGAGAGCTCGTTTACGGTACAGCCCGTTTAGAAATCAATGTCCACGATACACCAAGTACCATTCTTTTCAATGGCGGCTTCGTTGAAGAGAATTTCGTGCATGTCTACCTGTGGGTGACTGTGTTTTTGATTTTTCGAATTTTTGACAGCTCCACCGGAAAGACACTTTGAAGAATCGGCTTCCCTTTCGCGTTCTATTTATCATTCGCTCGTGATACCGAGGTTCGTTCATCGATAATCATCGTGAAATACGTACAAGTCTTTGATCGATCAAAGGGTATCGATTGAGATATAAAAATCGAGTGTGGTCTGTTTCGTTATTTTTCCTTTTACGCGATAATTATTCTTATTGACGTTGGTTCAGCAGCGTTCTTCACGGTCCTGTTGAAGAGTGAGCACGTCTCTGTTGATTTACCGGTCTCGTACGTCATCGTTCTACCGAACCGACGATCTATTTTCGACGATGGTCCGCCACGATGTCGTAAACAACGTCGATCTACTGTGAAATTCATATGTAAATTATAATATTCTTTTAAAAATCGAAAAACAGCTTCGTGACACGGTAATCGTTACATTTTTACATTTCCTACAAATTAATTATCGATAAATAGTTCGTTGTGTATACTCTTAATCGCGAGGGTATTTCGTCACAACAAACTGCGCGCAACAGCGCAACCATTCTACGTGTCAGTATAATCGCTAGATCTCGTAGCTTACCATGCGATAAGATAGCATAAACGAACGTCGGTTATCCGAAGTATTTTACAAGTGACCCAACAACCTCGCAACAGGCAGCGTTTCATCGGTAGCTGGGTATCGTTCGTGCATCCTTGAACGAGTCGATCGAATATTCGAGTCAGCGACTCGTGCTTTGTTCGACCAAGAGGAGCCACGTAAACCGGCCGAGGAACGGGAGAACGGAACGTGTCCGTGGAAACGGGGGGGAAAAAAAAGGAGATGGTGAAACGCGCGAGGGGGGAAGACGCGGACAGGGGGTGGAGAGGGAGAGGAGAGGTAGAAGGCAGACGACGCGTCGTTACGCGACGGAATACCATTATCCGGATAATGGGCCGGCAATTAGCTCGGCGGCATGCATAAATCTTCGCGTGAAAGGACAGGATGCCCGGTATTTAAATAAATAAGTAGCCTCATTGTCCGGCCACGAGGCGTCATCGGGTCACGCTGGAAGCGTGAAGAAGGGAAAAAAAATGCTAATCAGTCCGAAAACTCCGCGAGGACTCACGCCGAGCGTAGCGT